AAAAAACACAGTAATCCAATTATTTTTCAAGATGCGTAATTTTTTCTTTTATTTATTTATATTGTTTGTTTTTTGATGTTGTTTTCAACAAAAACCTGATAACGAGTAATTGTGCGTGACTGAGTTTCGTTAATACTTCAGTTCAAAATTACCACCCTGTTACCTATAAATCCTTCTTCGATTTTGCTTCAAATCAAAACAAGAAAGCATGTTCACATATCAAACGACAGGGGAGGGGRAAAACCACTCAACATTGATCAAAATACACTTCAAAAATGATTTCAATCCAAATAAACTACAAACAACGTTGATGTCATTCAATTATCATTGCACTTGAGCTCCCTCTAAATTTTGATTTAATTAAGCAATAATTTTATTTTCGACGAATAACTGAGCCAGCTTAAACTCGCTGAGAATTTATCTATATTCTGTTTAGACTCTTGCAATTGTATAATACGAAGTAGTTCCTTGTGGTGTTGGTTTCCACATATTTTTTAGGAAGTTGCGGACAAATCCTGTTAAAAGTCAGTGTCTTATTATTCTTGATATATCGGGTTTGATAAGGCGAACTAATTGTCACCTTTTTTCGGTGTTAGTTTTTGTCCTTCAACGTCTACGATACCACCAACACTATTTATTTTAAAAAGCCCATCTGTATATTGTATTTGACTTATATTTTTCTCATTTATAGCAACTAAATTACAAAACAAATGAAATATCTATGTGGGTATATTTCTACGATTTTGTACTCGTAGTTTCATTTCAGTCTATTTGCACCTCGCATGAGTTCGTAAAGCTCTAGTAAAATAATGTCAATCTTAATGAAATTTTGGCTACGGAAGATCATTAATAAAACAACCGTACATCCCCGCTTTCAAGCACTTCGAAAAACCCCGATGGAGAGCACACTACACAGAACCTACGAGATGTAATACTCCTTCCTCATGTGATATCAAGATGTTTTAGGACGTTTCGTGAATCGGAGTTCTATAGCTATCGAGTTTTTCCCCTGAATTTATCCATATCCATTCCATCTTTAATCAAGAAATGCAATGCAAATATGACAGCCAAAAATCGGAAGCGGATGTCAGTAAAGGTTTTCTTGAAAGATGTGAAAATGCCCCGAGCAAATACAAAAGTGTTTATCTAATACATCTGTTCCAATTGGTTGATATATACAATATATATAAGTACAATATTGCTTGGCTATATGACAAAACCTGGCTAGATTGAGGCGCCGAGTGCAAAATATCTAGGGCTTCAAAACTAAAGGAAATATATATATTTTTACGGGGAAAAGTAATGCTTTTTTGATAAACAATTGTTAACATTCAAACTCGAAGGTGTCAATTGAAGAATTTGGAAGCTCGTTACGTTTGATTACAAATAAGAGACCTTCTTTCCGAGATTTTGGCGCCCTCAATTCTACTCCACCTGTCCAGGTTAATTTGTTCTACTCTAGTAAGCAGTCTAACAGAGCCAGCACCACCATCTTAAAAAGAGGCTAACAAAATTTAACACTTTGGAAACCAACGATTTATTACATTCAAGCACATCTTCTTTACAAATCTGCTCTTTTGCTGTGCTAAGTATTTCGTGCAAAAAAGCTGTCTTCATTCGGACAAAGTACTCAATTAGATTGTATTATCGCCAACGGTATTCCTCGCATAAAGAAGTCAAAAACAGTCTTTATATATCATTGTTTTGAAGGCGCAATAGTCAGGAAAACATTAGGAATATCAAGGACAGTTTTAAGGACATTAGCTTGTGTAATCAAGAAGGGCCGGTCTTTAAGAACCTCAAGAGTACTTCTCATTATCAAGATAAGCTCGCATCAACATTGCCTTGGAAGTTCTTGGAGATTCTAGATCTAATTACGATTATAGGACAAAAACACAAGGTGATATATAAAGCGACTAAATGAAACTGGTTGAAGCTTTGAACACTCGCCTCAACACTGCCACATCTTAAATTTAGAGGTTTCTTCGTGGTGTGCTCCTGCTGAATTTGTAAGTCATTTTGATTGTCTATCTGCTCAGGTGTTTTTCTAGTTTTCCACATAACAGAAAGGCAACATTCCTACTTAAATGATAATTATTTACAACTCGTTTGTTTTGTTTTAGGATTAAAAGAGATGGAGAGAGATGGGAAGGATCCCAAAGCGTAAATCAGCAAGTAGGAAAAACAACTTATTTTGATATAACTCTGTACACGTTTTGGGATATCAACAATTCTCTTGAATCGATATTGCTTCAATATATAATATATCAAAATTAACTGGTGCTAAAATTGTACGAGCTAAAGTTTGCAAGGAAGTTGAGCAGACTACATCATAACATATTGGTGATATCTGCCATTGTCGTGCATAACAAGGCATAATAGTTAGATGAGTAAAAGCTAGACTGATGTCAACATGTTTATTACATTGCAAATGTCGTTTCTGAGGTAAAGCACTTAAAGAAAGCACTTGTATCCAAGTGCTCCAAGTTGAAGGATATTTTGAGTCTTTTCAAGTACGCTAATCAACCTAAAGTGGTTTTCGGATTCGAACTGTCAATATCTTTGGAAAATTATAGTGCTTGAAATTAATCGCTGATCGTTTGTGTGGCTCCTAAATTGGAAAGTGATTACCATATTTGCATTTAATTTCAACGAAGTGGCACCTAAGGTAAATAACTTGAAAAACATGTACTTTTTATAGCCGTTCAGTTGGAAATTATTCATTAAAAAAAAAAAAAAAACAACAACAAAAAAACAAGCAATTTTCTCCACTAACTGTCAGGAATCTTCCATATAAGAAAAATTGAAAAGACAGATTTTCATAGTGTTTTCGTAATTGACATTTTTTTAGGATACGAAACATTTTGCCTTATGGTCATCGAAACATTAACCTTATTTGGTCAAGAAATTCTTGGGAGAAACGCCCAATGGTATGCCGTCTATTTCATCGTTTGAGAAAAGATTCCTTATAAGGTAATTACTTAGAGAAGAATTTCCTTATATGGTGATTGGAAGATTAGAAACTCCTTATACTGTGAATTGTCTGAAAATCTTCAAAAACTTGGTTAACGCGGAGTGAGCAACACCGGTTCCATATCCGTTTACCATTATCAATATTCTAATAACGAATAATTATTAATAATTATTATTAATAATAAGTCATAAAGGAACAATAATAGCAGGAAAAATGGTTTCTTTAGTAATGCTTGTTGCCCTCGGTATCATTTCAATCTTCGCCATGATGGTCAACCTTCTGGTTTGCTTTCTGGTCTACAAAAATAAATCCATGAGAAACTACACCAACAGCTTTGTAGTATCTTTAGCCGTTTCTGATATTCTTATGAGCTTTGTCATGTTTTGTCAATATCTCATTGGTTTCAAGAATCGTATTATCATCAATATTGCATATGCAGTCGTCATGTTCAGCGGTGTTTCTAATCTATGTGCCGTCACGTACGACCGTTACATAGCCGTCACGCGGCCGTTGCGTTACATGAACATCATGCACAGTCATTGTCGAAAATTGCTGTTCAGTGTTTGGACGACGTCTATCGTCATTTCTGTACTCCCCGTGACATGGCATGACAAAGATAAAAAGCGTGACGGTCACATGATCTATGTCATGCTCGTTCAAATCCTCTTCATTATTGTGCCATTCACGTTCATCATCATCAGTCACTGCTTCATCTTCTATCATGCCAAGAAATGCAGCGGGAAATGCCGTCGCCTTAGCAACGCCAATCAACGACGACCAAGTCTATGGCGTTCCACCACTGAAATCAAAGTGGCACGCGTCTTTGCTCTTGTGGCATTTATGTTTTTGTTAAGTTGGTTCCCAGTCATTTACTACACGTCAGCTGCCATATTTGACCGAGGAAAAATGGTACCTAGAATACTACTCGAGATATCTCCAATCACATTGGCACTGGGATGCATCATCAATCCTATCATATACTCACTCATTAAGCCAGACTTTCGTAAGACTCTCAAGAAACTGTTGACCACCAATGAACACTCAAGGAGGGGGACTGGAGATAGTTCTGCTAGTGATGCTACGTCATCATTTAGGATAATCCAGCGAAATGGTTTCTCATTTGTAAGAGGAAACTCTGTAAAAAAGAAGGAAAGCCTAGAAACTGGATTATGACTTTCAAGTTCTTTTTTTAACCTGGAAATGGCGGATGATTTATTCCTCCACAGGAAGCCCAATTCAGCTTACAAAAAGAGCAGGAATCTCTGTAAAAACTTTTGTTTCTAAGTTTCAAAGAACGAAATTATACTAGAAAACGTTGTGTATAATTGGCTAGGAAGGGGGAGAAAAAGGGGACATTGTTCCTATCCCCCTTCCTATCCAAGGTAGTAGATGTGAAGTTAGTGTACATTAGTCTCAAGGCGCTCTTCTCAGTGAAAAATAGAATTCGTTAGAAAGCTGAGAAGGGTTTGGGTACGAAAATTATACAGATGAAATCAAATTGTGAATTGAATCTCCAGCAATAGTCCCCTTCACAGTTCCCTGCGCCATCTCGAAAGATAGCCGTGTCTTTGCATCGAAACGAGTCGAACGGTGAGCTTGCAATGATAGGGACCTGTGAATAATTGTCCAAGGTGTTAAAAAAGGTCTCTATTATTGCATGCTCACCGTTCGTCTGGCTTCGATGCAAAGGCACGGCTACCTTTACGGACTATTGCAAATCAAGGTATTGCATAAAATGTAAATTAAAGGATTAATGAGAATCACAGACTTTGAAGTCTGGTCGCATTAGTAGTATCATGAGAGAGCATAAATAAGAGAGTGAAACTTATTAATTTCGCGCGCGCCATGTAAATTCCCGGTCGGGCTATTTTTAGGAACCGGGTGCAGTTTAAAATTCACCTTAGTACTCCCAGGCGTCAACTCGCGCGTGCTCGCGATCTTTCCGTTCATTGTTTTGATCACCAAAAACGAGATCAAAATTTAGTTGACACATGGGAGTAGGGTAAGGCAAATTTTAAACTGCATCCTGTTTCCAAAAAAATCGACCATCTTGCGTGACCATCTTCCGTGACCAACTCCCGTGACCATCTCACCTGAACATCATACATGCAGTTTAGGTTTAATATTACTTCGTAACCCGATAATATAAAAGAAGTAATAAAATCTGATACCGCGCTTATCATTGTTTACTGACTTTGATACGAAATGATATCTTTGCAAGTTTAATTTTGTAAAGAATAGATCGGAACCCACGTTAGGAAGTTTGTGGAATGACAAGTTTTTTCCGAGGCCGGATGCGTCTCGACTTTCTTACAAACTCAACCGCAATGTTATATAATATAGTCTAATAGGCATCAGAATTGTTACTGATTAGTAAATTAAGGTTATGATTAAAAAAGTTTTTATTAATGATACTTTAATAATAGATAAATAAAACTAGAATCTGACAGGCCTAGTTATAGGATCTCTCGTGCAACTTTTGATCGCGCTCTGGTCGAACATTAGAGAGTTTTAGATTTACGTTCACGGCAAACGTGAAACGTCAGTTGACCAGTAAAAAATTATTTTAAATTACTGAAAAAGAATCGCAAAAAAGTCCAAGTAGTAGAAAAACAAAATAGTATTTGCGCTTGGTGAGAAGGTTTGTCACAGGTAGCCCAGGCTCATAGTTAGTGTTGATAACTGAATCGATCGAGAGACAGACAGACAAAGATTATATGGGTATTATACGAAGAATATATAGGTATTTATGAATCCTCATTTTTCTGCTTTAAGATCAATAAAATCAAATAAAACTCTCACCGTGTGTTGTTGATATATTGAACAGCCCCATGGCTTAATTCCAGCTCATTCCGTTCAGGTTTAGATGATACTCCTCCACCATACACGAGAAGATGACGAGATGAAGCCCGGGAGTAGGGTTAGGCGAATTTCATATCTACATGTTCTAAAAGGGGCCTAACCAAACTCTTATATAAACAAATAAGAGTCGATCTATGCAATTTGTACTTTAATGTTTTTAGTGAGGTTCGCACCCTTTTACATATCACTATCATATTTTATATATTTTAGTAACATGGTTCTTCCATGATATATTGCTTTGCAGTGTAATTCCAAGATGTTCATGAAACTCAACCTCATCAACTTTTTTCCATTCATAAAAAGACTAGAATGGTAATCTTTGCTTGGTTTCAAAGAAAAAGTCATGGATTGCGATTTAGTAGATTCATTGTCACTTTCCATTTATTCGACCAATCAAAAATCATACTAAGATCAGAGTTCAACGGTCAGCTGAATCAGCGATCGATTACTTACAATATTTCAAACAGGGTGGTATCATCTGCATATAAGTAAGGATGAGGGTTCAGTCCAAAAACAATATGGCTGATGTATATAAGAAATAGAAGAGGGCCAAGAACGGAGCCTTGCGGCACTCCAGCTGCAATCTCTTTACTTTCAGAAAAATGACCCTCAATTACGACTCGCTGCTCTCGTCCTTGCAAATAACTTTTAATCTACTCTAACATAGGCCCCTCCGCAGGGTATTCGCTCACTTCGGATCGGAGATGGGATTTTGGGCAAATGGGATCCTGTGGGGCAAAGGGAGAAAATGGGCTTCCTGTGGGGCAAAGGGAAAAGAGATAGACTGGAGAGGGCTTCCTGTGGCTTCCTGTGGCTCGCCCCTAGTCTTCTCTCTTTTGTTTGCCACAGGAACTCCAAAATATAAGAGTTGCCTGCGGAGGAGGAGAGTTGGAATAACATTAGCCCGCTTCCATTCTTTCGGGTATTTGGCGAGTGTAAACGAAAGATTGATAACTGAATCCGTAAAAAACTGATGAAAGCCATCAGCACACAGATTTAAAATCTTATTACCAATCCCATCATGCCTGAGATTTACTTTCTACTTTCACATCCCCATAATACTTTGCGTCTTTGGGGGGTAACCAGAGGGTAAAAACCCACTTATTTTGCTGAAGGCTGATCAGACAATGTTGACAATACCTTGTTTGGTATCCAAAAATAAAATGAAGAAGTAAAAAACAGAAAAAGATAGAAGCTTGAAGACGTTTAAGGTAAATTTTAACCATTTTTTCGTAAGTCAATACATTTTCTGTAAGACCAAAATTCTTGATGATCTGTACACGCAAAAATAACTTGGAATAAACTGATGATCAGTATTGTTCAGATAACAGCAGGTATAGTATAAATTCAATTAAGAAACCTTTCAATTTGGGACAGTTTTTTGATTGAGATTTCCAAAGTTCCCCCCCAAAACCCCGGTTTTCCCCCAAACCTACAAGAACGCCTGCTTTGCAGGCTGAGATTATGTTAGATCGTACCGGTAGCATCTTGTCATTTTTCTTAGTTCAGGTGACCGAGGTGGATTAATTCCAAATGTGCGAACGAATGCTTCCGACTCCTCCGACGATGAGTGTCGAGATATCCGCTACACACGCGGCCGAAACGGAATATGGCGACCAATTTGAATAATTATTCTGCACTGATTAACGACTGACTCACGCCTCGTGTTCACGTGGAAACATAAAAGCGTTTTGACATGTATGAGAGGCTGGCTTGTCAGTCGCTAGTCATCATTTTATAAACGGTGTTTAAATAAATAAAAGCAACTTCAAATTCATTTTAAGGGTCTAATGATAACAATAACGATAAATATTTAAAAAATATATTGACTTGATTTTCTCGCGATTTTGAAAGATTATCTTAAGAGGTATCTCCAAATACCCACAGGGGACCCCTGCTTAGTAGGTATGAAAAGTGAAATTTGAACCCGTGTGGGGGGAGGTTAGATCCACATTTAGCTTCAGAAACTGAATTTATTCAAACCAACGACCCGTTGCAAGGTGAGTTCACATTTGCACGTAAAAAAATATTTGTATATTGACGTATTTTTAGGCCCTGAGGTATTTCTTTCACTTCTGACATCCCTGACATAACAGCTGTCAATCAATCATTGACTTTCGACGCTAGAACGACAGCAACGACATGCAGAAGGGACAAGCTTGTTCAAGTTTTAGAGTCCGGCTACACTGAGACACGTGTGGGAAAAAAACGTTTTTGTAAACTCAGAATTCAAAATAATAGACATACGAAGAGTTAAGAAGTAGAGCAAAGCTAGGAAGACTCTTGAGTTCAAAGGTAAGTTGTTGTTTTGAGTTTATCTTTATAAAGAAATCACGAGTAGTTATTAAATTGCCTGAGTGGCTTTGTCATGGTCGAACGTTCCCTGTTGTCTGGCTTGTCTGGTATTATTTCAATTCAAAATAACGAAAAAAAGAAAACTTGAAGAAGCAGATGACTAATGTTTTAAGTTTAGTGCTAGAACTAAATGGGTATCATTACTTTTGTCGAGTTTGATGACCCAATTAACTTATCAACGTCTGTCGAACGTTCTTCAAAACTCAATCATACCTCAAACACTTGTTCAGAATGCGCTAATTATCTTACCATTATGTTATAACTAGCTTGTTATAAAGCTTTTAAATTCATTGTCGTATGTCTGTACTAGAATCTTGAGCTATGAAAACACGAAACTGCGGTTGTTTATTTATCTAATTCGACAAAGGACTTCTGAATCTTGAAGGACTTTCTTCCCAGGAATGGCTTCCAACCAACACGACACGTGCTCAGACCTATTTTCTTCACCTTTTGCCTCCATAAAAACATTATTCCAAAAAGAATTTACTAAAATGCTTAATTCCCTAAAGGTCTGTAATTCGATATTCAAGTAACGAACCCTAATCATTTAATTATGTAATTAAATTATTTCTAATTTATTGCTACGCCACGCAGTATTATTTGTAATTACCTGTTCGAATTTCTTTTCTTTTCGCGATTTATTTTAGCCTAGAATTAACCGTTCACGGTATATAACATGTAGTGCCTCAAGTGCTCGGGTCTCTAAAAGGTCCTAAAAGGCTTTCTTGCAAGAAGAGTTCTAATTTTGATATCCAATCGTCCATGATAAGTTCAAGTAGCTGGTTCAATAAGTCCCCAAGTAGTTCCGTTTTTTATTTATATCAATTCGTAAACAATTCCAATCCGACTTCTAAGCTTGAATTAGGATTACGTTGTTTTCTTTGTAGATAAATAGATAAATACAGATTAACTACACAAATAAGTCTTGTTATGTTTATAGTTATTGTTTTGATGGCTATTTATGGAAACTTGTTTACTTTCATTTTGGCTTAAGGAAAAGACTATTTTTATGRAAAAAAAAGCCCCCTCTTTCGCCCCAAAAAGGTATTTTCCCCGCTAAATATTAGCGTGACAAATTACCCATATTTGCCATATTTAAAAAAGCGAAATGGCCTGATTTTTTAAAAATTTTCGACGATTTCTCAACTAAAACGATTCTCTTCAGCTCATGTCTTTCTTAAGCAGAGAATGGCACGAACGACTCTCTTTGTCTCTTCTTCGTAGCACTTATTCATTTTCAGTACTTATCCGCATCCATTTTCAGTGGGGGCTTATTAGGAGGGCCCAGGGAGGGGCTTACTCGGAAGGGGGGCTTTAAAAAAAAAAAGATGGAGGGCTTTATAGAGGAAATGCGGTATTCTTACAATTCCAGTTGGACGCCTATTTCGATGTCTGACTACCGATCATCGCCTTGAATCGATTAGAATAACCGGCACAGCTTATGTCATAACTTTAATCGAGTATACTGAATTTGACTAGTTTTATTTGAAAAGTCGATATTTATAAGTTTGCTATTCTTTCTGACCAAAGATTCGCAATTGTTTATACACTGAGAGTTCAAGTATTCCAAGAACCTTTGGCGGTCAAGGTGTTAAGCTTGTCTTTCAGTAGTTTTCCCAGCAGAGTTACGACTTAACTCCTTGGTTTTTGTAAATCATTTAATTATTCAATAAATGGACTTTTAAACGAGACATAATGGAGGTATTAGGTATTAATATATTTAAGAATCTTCGAATTTCTTCACGCATAGTGTAATAATCGCGTGCACAGACCACACTCAGTCATAAGAGGGATCAATTTCAGGGTCGGCTTGTTTGTATGGAGGGCGAATAGCGCTATCCAACGGATAATTCCTTATCCAGTGGATAAGTCGATGCTGTTATCCAATAAATTTATCCACTGGATAAGATTTATCCGTCGGATAGCCTTATCCATAAAAAATGTCAAGCTGGTTTATATATAGCTATTTCAAAAACGTTTGGTGGACTGACATTTTTTTTACATGTTGCATGTTGCATGTAGCTATAGCTATAGCTCTAGCACGTTGCATGTTGCATGTTCCAAGTTGCATGCTTACCAAGCTTGAAATGTATTATATTCATATGTAAATGAAAGAAAATATACTGGAAAACCGTGCAGAAAAAATTTGGTTAAATTTCATACAGTACTGATCTTTCGCTGTTTGGATTCAAATTGCTCATAGCGCATATTTGGCTTGTTATGCGACTGCGACATGCAACATGCAACAAAAAAGCCTTCACCAACCTTTTTTGAAATAGTTGCATAACTTCTAGCCTGCGTCACATCCGGAATAGAAATTTCCGGATGTGACGCAGGCTACATAACTTCGTATAGCGAGATAACTCATGGTGTATTCAAAACGGGAACAATGTTAAAACGGAACTTTTCCTAAAGTGTTTCTGAACATTTGTAACTAAGACCTCGAGATCATCGCCGAAGATTAAAGGATGCTAGGCAAACAGAATAAGATGAGATGGGATAGGAGGATTCGGAACGAGAGGGGGTAGATGGTTTAAATGGAATGACTTTATGGATAGATAGATAGATGGATTGGTGATTGCATTAATTATAGCTAATATTAACTATTATATATATTAACTATTAAAGATATCACATATTAATATTAACCATGCATTAATGAAGGCGTGTCTAGCCGTGAACAAACGAATGATCGAGTGAATAAACAAATAACTTGATTCATTTATTCATAAACTAATAGCTCAGCGCACTGATTCTAAAAATAGCTTAAAAATTCGGACAAACATTGCATTCTGTTTAACCGCTAAGAGTATTATACGAATGATAACCCATGTAAACCAAGATCAACTGCGATCGGCTGTGAAAATTATCTGCTGAAAGTAAACTTGTAAGTTTGTTTGTCCGAATTTCGCCTTTGTCTTCGTTTTTATGACGTCACGGTTGCGCTGCGCTATTAAACCGTAAGTGTCTGAATAAATCGATCGATACAATAAGCCAACCATTCTTTTGATATCGAAATGACGCATATTTTAAAAATTGACGCAGTCACATACTGGTAGACTAGACAAAGCTCAATCTGGTAATCTGGTAGAACACCAGGTGGAACGTACCCAGACTATACCATCGTGCTGTGCTAGATACAAAAGACATAAACACAAAGGTGCCGCAAACGTGATGGAATTTGAAGCCTGTCTAACTCCAAGATAGAACAGTATTGTTTGGATTCTGATGTGTGCTGTTTTGAACGCTTGGTCTCAGCACGAGGCAAGTGGAAAGAAAACTTTCCTTTTGTGGTCAAAGCTGGTTGATTTGATAAATCGATCCGATAGTGTGACTGGCTTGCGCCCAACTGATTACAAACATATATATATATCTAAAGACCAGATGATATATATACATGTATATACAAATCACAGACACAAACGGAAGCTATCAGTTCGATTATTTTGCTATCATTTGGTCTTTACTGTGGATAAGCTGTTGAATCGGTGAGTAAAGTAAGAAGAGATGATCTTATGGTTCACGAGACGTTTTAAAATTCGATTATTTTCTCATCATTTACTGATGGGGAGGTCTGACACCCTTGGAAACTTGACATTAAGAACTGCTACTTGGGTATAGACCAGACCACCTGGGAAGGAGGCGAACGGGGCAGGTTGGAGGTTCAGATTGCTACAAATCAACATGTGCGTCGAGCGTTGAGTGCATAGAATATTGAATGTAGTGGTAGTGTGTGTGTGCAAAAAGTGTCCCCAATAGACCTCTTCGGCTCTGACGTAATGTTTTCCCATTTCAGACCATGTGTCATTCCCTTGAGAATAAGATTCTTTGTTTAAGCTGTATCCATATTCATGTGTCTTCTCGTGTGCAACCGAGCGCAAACCTTAAACAAGGAATGATACTCTAGGGAATGACACATGGTCTGAAATGGGAAAACATTACGTCAGAGCCGAACAGGTCTATTAGTGCGAAAGCGCTATAACGACTAGGCACTTAAATAAAAGTTATTTTTTACTTAGGTCGAAATTTCCAAATTGAAATATATTTTGAAAATCCGTCCATTATTCAAACTGTTCAAACTATTTCATTGATTTTATCATTCCATTAATATTATATCCCTTAATTGCATTATTAACTTCCATTCAATGATGTTGAAGTTGAATATTAGAAATTTTTACCACTATAAATTTTTTTTGCCATTTTACATTTGATAATAACCGTTTAAATTATAAGGAAATTCGATAATATAAAAACGGTTTTTTTTTTTATTTATTTAAACATATTTTAACACATATTAACCCCAAGAGCAAGAACTCATCGAGGGGGTCTATATATCTTTTTACAGCAATAAATAATATCGTGAAGTACTATAGGACGAAAGAAATAAGGAAAAAAGTATTATAATAAAACATATATAGTAACAATGCATTTAGGGGGAAAAAACTATACAATTATCAATATAATATTCAGTGAGAAAAAAGCCCAGAATCTAATAAATATTGTTGCACGGCAAAAAATAAAGTTTGGTTATCAGAAATAGATAGTTCCATAGATCCGTGCAACAAGAGCAATTATTTTTTCTTAATAGATAAGGTAGACCAGTTATTAATAAGTTGTGCAGCAGAGGTAAGTAAGATATTGCGTTGAGCAGAGTACCGGGGACAAGAAAGAAGAAAATGTTGAACTGACTCATTTACACCCTGTTGACAAGTGCAATCCTGGCTTACACTACGGTTGATTTTGAACAAGTACGAATAAAAAGGGCTTTGCCGTTAAGGAGGCTCAAAACGGTTTTTCTTGAGCGCGCGCGCGCTCTAGGTCCGATGACGTAGAACTTGCAAAAGGAAAATTTTCGTGCTCATAAATTTTAATGTTTAAACTGAAAAAAATCAAAATTTCTGCGGTGAAATTTATTCAAATTTTCCATAGGGCTTTAGTTTATATTTTCAAAAACTTAAGGAAAATTTTTAAAAATTCTGTAAAAGGGAACTATTCCAAACAAATTTTATTGATTTTTACGAATTCCCTTTTACAGAATTTTTTCTTTTTTTGTCAAAAAGAAGATTACGATACAAAGTTTAAGTATTCCGGTTTTTAAAAAAATTCACCATTTGGTTCCTGAGTTATGGTTTTTTAAATGAACATTTTTGATGGCATAACAAGGGTTCTGATGTTGTCATGGCAACGTCTTACGTCATTTTTTTCATGTTCATTGCGATCTTTGGTTTATAGTCTTTGGCTTTCCTGGTTTACTTGCTGTCATATTATAGTCATACTAATTTTTTCTAGTTCATAATTGGGAGTGTATGTGAAGGCACAAAACACTTTCCAGCCTCCTCAATAAAAAAACAAAATTATTATATTTTTTTGGACTTTGCTCTCTGATTTCCTTGACTTTTTTTAAACATTCCAGAGTAACACGATTTATTATTCTCTTAATTAATTGTTCTTACGTGTGAATGACATACTCCTGATAATCAATAAATTCCACGTTCTTTCTGGAAGCAAACTTTTTCAATTGCTTATGAAAACAATCCATTAATTTCTCACCCCCAAGGATATTTTAATAAATTTATAAAAAAAAAAATTCATAAACAAGAAACAACCATGTTATAATTTTAATCTTTTGTTTTATTTATTTTTTAACGAGTTTTCTGGAAAATCATAAATATAATTTTTATTCTAAAAGAATTTTTCATCATTGATGGCTTTTTTCTCTATATGTTATTCTCTATTTTTTCTAAATACTTGAGTGAATTGAAATAATACAAATGAATTCAAAAAGGGCGAAAACTCGAAAACTAAAGGCTCAAGGCTTGGTGAGAACTTTAATCCTCCCTCGGGTTTGAATCAAACAGCCAGCACTAGCACTACAAAATTAAAAACAACATATTTAATATAAATTTTCAATTTCAATTTCAACTTAAAAGTATTAGACTCTCACCTTACAAATACCACAGCACAGCACAGCACAGCACAGCACACTACAGCACAGCACACCACACCACACCACACCACACCACACCACACCACACCACATCACATCAACGTATTTTAAAGTAACAGACTCTCATCTTAAAAACTCTGCAAGCACTACTACAAAACAACGATAAATACGACACAACATAATCTTAACTTATAAGCTTAACTTATTTTAACTAAAGCGACAGATTCTTATCTTAAAAACTCTGCAACCACTGCTAAGAAACATATCGAACTTTACTCTATATGTTAGTGTCGAAGTTGGAGTAGAGAGAGCTCACTCCATATATGGTATGATCAACTCCATGTCAACGACACGACATAAAAGCTCAATTTCAACTTTAGCAACACATTTTCATTTTAAAACACTACGACCACTACTACAACAACAACACAACACAGAAACTCACTTTCAAATTTAATGCACATTAAAAATACCTATAAAAAGGTTTATACAAATATGATTATTATTAACTTAAATGTAGGCGTATGCCAAAACTATGTGCGCAAATAGTAGGATATTGAAAAGGAAATATAATCGTACTATCTAAAAATAATTTTGAATGGAATTGCATGGGCAGTATATCGTCAGGTAATTCTATCAGACATTTCGAAATAAGCCTGAAGCGAGATGACGTTTTACCCCCGTCTCTAGAGCATAATAGTTTTTAAAATTCTTTCATATTAGAATTTTTGATTCCTTAGAGAATACAGGAACAATAGTCATAATTAAAGAACGAAAGCAGCGTGAAAAGGATTATGGTCTAGAGACGGGGGTAAAACGTCATCTCGCTTCAGGCTTATTAAGGAAAAAAGTGGATCGTGCATTGCAATGCAATGTGGGGCTGTTTTAGGCGACGAAATAGACGCCATCTTGGAAATATGTCGCCCAAAACAGCTCCACGATACACGGCAATAAACGCTCGACCCAGTGTTTTCGTGCAACAATATGAAAAGATTCACGTCGTACAGGCCGTTAATTAAAAAGCAGAACAAGACTTTTTTGAATATTCAACTAACTTATATTGATCTAATTAATCGCTCAAAAATACCTTCGATGCTTGCGATTAAAGATGAGCCAGCAGTGAAATATCTTTTGTCATAAAGTCATATAAATGAGGGAAAATTGTCAATATAACGTGAAACCGCTGACAACTGTAATAACCATGTGCTATTAGACTAAACCTACGAATGACCACAAGTCACAAATTCTGCGCTCTGATTGGCCAAGCTACTAGTAGTCAATTAAATCTCCGAAGGTTTCATTTGTAAACGCGACAAGTCTACGAATTTTCCGCCGAACTTCAGTGCATGCGCAGTGCGTTTTTCTGTTAACACTAGAATCAAGAGGAAAACGTTTGGTTGCTCCTGAAAGACTCAACGAAGATAATGATTTTACAGTCAACTTTTTTGACAAAACCCAAAAGGTTGTTGTCTCTTGCCAAGAAAAATGGCTTGCTTCCGTTTGCAGAATCAATACATAATCTTTAATCTTTATTTAAACACGGATGTCTTATCATACAAAATGCTCTTCCTAAGAGCCTTATTAAAACTTATAATAGAATAATAAATATAAATTGTATAACTAGAAATAAAAATAGAATTATATAAATGTATATATATAACTCATAAGATATAAATAATTGGAAATGTCAAAAATATTCAATATTCTGTCAGCAGGGGCACAATACGACCATCAAAGATTAATTGACATTTCGGCATTTTTTTAATGCCATGGATAATCACGTTAATGAGAGAGTTCACGTCTTATTTCCTACGCGATTAACACAAACAACCTCCAAGAGGAAGTTAATGAGGGTAAATAATATTTCACTAGAGAATAGGACACAAACAATTAGATAGCATGTTTTTACTTTCCTTTTTGAGGTCCTTGAATAAACCTCTTTTCCTTAGGCGTAATGTTTCCCATTTTAGACCACGTGTTATTCCACAGAGTATGGCGGGGTAAATATGGGTGCTAATCGAAAAAATAAATCTTATTTTCAAGGGATTGACACGTGGTCTGAAATGGAATAACATTACACCCAACGTAAAGACTCAATAAGGGTGTCTTTCTCTCTTAACAGCGTTCGTTGGTCTTTGAACAACTCTTCCAGAGGATTAATATTATTCCTACGCATAGAACTTCTAATATTATCTTTTTAATTCTTAAAGATTTGGAAGTTGCAACCAGGACGTATCATAATTAATAATTTTGTTGTTATTGGTTTGAAATAAATTGTATTTTCCCTGTTGTATTTTTCTGTTGCATCCAATCTTCCTTCTCAAACCTTTGCAAGGAAAGGTCCTTTTCTATTCAATTTTTCCCCCCTTCTTTTCATTGTCTGAGAAGGTAGTCATGGAAGTGTCCACAGGCCAAGGACGATCTAGACAAATAAATCAGCGTACGAACCATATGCGGACATTAGGGATGATGGTTTTCCACCGACGTTTAGCTGGGTCACGGAAAACAACTTTGTCTTTCACAACATATAACGTTTACTTTAAAAAAAATGGAAAAAAAAATATTTAAAAACATATCTCTGCGTTTTCTCTAAAAATAGCGAAAAATACACCCTCAATATAGATTAAACACATATACCTGTTCTATATAAACTGCGAAGAACTGTGTTTTAAATGTTATTTGTTGGTATATTTATAATACAGAGCAGTAATATTTAGTGACGTAAAGGAAACAAATACAGTGTCTGGAAGTTTTCATCAAGTCTGTAACAGAATATATCCTTGTTTGTGTTACCGAATAGGTTCTAAATCTGTGTATATTAAATCAGTTTAAATGTCCTTCCTAGCTATAAATGTTGCACCTTAATTTCCATTGAGTCGTAAACTGAAAACGAACATTTTCACTACTCCTTTAAGATGAGATTTTCTAGCAAATCTGTATAGATTTTCTCTGCAGATTTTCTACCAATTTCTTGAAAGTTAAAAAAAAAATTAAGTGTCTCACTCCTTGCTATGGATTAAAGTCGCAAAAGTTTAGTTAGAATAACTTAAAAAGATTTAGATTGTCTTTATCACACCGGATAGAAAGCATTTTGAACAATTACTCAACTTCGCGAATGTTCGGCTGGAAGGTGGGCGAGCGAGCCCTTTCAGACATTCACATCCATGATTCCATTAACACTTGAAACTTAATCTCCTACATAGTCCGGGGACAAACTCACGAACACAGGTGAATCTAGAATGAAAGAGATACTTTTCTCGAAAGAATAATACTCGTGGCTCTGTTTCAGTTTTTAGTCTGAGTTAGTTAAGATTTATCAATCCATTAATCGCTTCCAACAAAAACGCCTCCATTGAATGCTCCTCTTTTAAAAACAGGTTTCTTTTGTGGATTGGTCTTCGCGCCGGGGAGTCTTGGGCAATTGGATTACAACGAGATCAGACGTAGTCGAGTGAAAAAAACTACAGCTGACAAGAAAAAGGTTAGTATGATTTTTTCTCCTTCTTAACGTCCAGGTTTTAAGTCGTTTCGTAATACTTAAATCATCATTTATATGAGATAATACTAGTACAACATGTAGCGGCTCTGTCTGCGTTWAAAAAAAAAAAGAGGGGGAAAAAAAAAAAAGAAGAAAAATAACGAATTTTTTTCCGCAAAGCTAAATCATATTATTAGTATGCTGTCTACAACATCATGTCATTACTGAATATTAGTAATAATATTCATTTAAATTTGAATTAATTATCGAGAATTTTTAAAAAAAAGACTCTTAAGTTTTTTTGGAAAATAGTTTTTAAAATGAAATTTTTATGTTAAATTATCTTTGAAATTTCTCAACTCTGAAGTCAGTGTTCTGTGTTTATACTGAGAAGACGGACGGAAGTTCGTATTGATCAGGTTTAATAACTTTATTTTTCTCTTTTGTGTCTGGCCGCGCGTGTATGTTTTCAAACTTCCAAAGCAATCGCGTTTACGCTTGCTTTTCTACCTGAAAAAATCTAGAGCTTAGATATAAATAAATTCATAGCTTTTAAGAAAGATTTTTTATTGTCGTAGAGCTATTAGATTAGGTGGTTTCTTTTGGCAAATAGTCTTAATTTAACCGTAATTTCATTGAGCAATTTTTAAGTTAAGATCTTTTTCAGGATATAAAGATGTAGTTATCTATTGCTCTTGTTGATGGGAATTAATTTAAGTCTTCTGACGGTTAATGTAGGCTAATTTACCATGAAAAATCAAACTAAACTGTCGAGGAAGTGAATTGTGTAAACAATGTCAAAAGAATGAGATACGATACGATACGATGTCGCGAGAAAAGGAAGGAAGAAAGAAAGAAAGAAGAAATGAGTGGGAAATATCAAGAATGAGAAAGATAGCGCAAAAGAAAGAATGAAAGAAAGAAAGAATGAAAGAAAGAAAGAG